TGGTTTGCATGTCAAGATATTTGCCAATCACCGTCCATCACAAAAATTTTCCCCAAAAATTCCTTTGAATCAACTACAACATATACTCTTCAGACCTGTGACATAGCTTGGTTCACTTCTCCGAGACTATTGGAGCTGATGGCATGTGTCAGAGGTGCAGCTACAACACCTATATTAGTTTCTACTACCCCATCAGGAACTGTTCCATTTTCCCCACCAGCAATCACTTGTGACACTTGTCTGGCAGATGGGCGAGATAAGTTTGCTCGGAATCTTGCAGCATAATGCAAGGGAGACGCTCCATCTTCTCCAGGGACGTCAATAACTATCAAAAAGATAACATTTGGATAAGAACCTACTTGTTAGAGCAGGGGTATAGATAAAGAAGTCCTAAAGTGTTAAACCCTTTAACTCCCAGATCAAATTTGTAATTCTTCTAAATGTCAACTATACAATTCTTATAATGTTAGTTCAGAGAAGTTAGTATTGGATCAACTCATTATCACCAAATTGATATTTTTCTTTATTCTTATCACTTATCTGATTGACATTGTATTGATATTGTAAGGAAAAATTCTGTCTTGGTCACTCATGGGAGTTAAAGGGTTAACCCCTTAACCCCTGGTAGTGATTAACATGAACCTTCTCCCCAAATATCCATGATTAGAATGATGATTAGAATACTCAAACTTATCAGGTAGAAGCTACTATCTTGATCTAGCACCAAGCTCTCATTACTAATTTACAAGGAAATGTGCAGCCACTAGAGGGTAGAATTAACAATCAGATCTTGGGAGTTAAAGGGTTAAGACCTACACCCCCTATTTAGCAATAATTATTTGTGAAAGGCAAAGTGAATATTGTTATATTATTCAACAATATTCACTTCCCCTTCTGCGAATAATTGGTCTTGGTATACTGTAATTGCTGTAGGTGCTTTCAAATTCTATTCTAAATGTTCACTTTGATGTTCTGTTTCAATAGTTTGATTACTTACTTACCACTAGTATTTAATGAGTTCATTTAATACATTCAACTAAAAACTTCAGATTGTTCTTTTGAAAAGTGTTACTCCAAACTAATACAGTGTAGTTAAACTTATAACAGCACCTTCTGTGCTTTTGGTATCCAATTTCCTTTGTTGCATTCATCAGTTCTTAACTAACACTGGTGAGGAGGGTATTTTTAAATTTAGCCTCCTATGATAATCACCATGTGTGATGTGATTATAGCAAGATACATTGCAATCCTCAACCAATCAGAGTGCATGCATCTCTAATTACCAGTGAGAGCAATTACACAAATGTAAGATAATTCTTTCTTACAGTGCATCAGTAACACACAAAGAGTATACTTTAGGTCTGTGAAAACGTAAGGACAATAATTATGCGCTTTTCAATCAAAGTAAAGTTCAGAACATGCAAAGAAAACTCAAAACTCCAAAATAATCACCGTTGCTATTTGAAGTAAGTCTTCTCATGCATGATCATCTTTATCCTTGGAAAACAATAACATTCCCTCAAGGCTATCAGTGTTTGCAGTTTCATGGTAATTTCCAAAATTTCAATATGTTCAAGCTCCTAATACTATTCATTCCCTTGTGGATTATTTTGCAAGATTAGGAGTTTTACAGATCCTCATGCTATTCCAAGCATAAACAAGTTAATTACTTATAAAATAATTACCTGCTCCTAGCTCTACCAACAATTTGACAACCTCCACCTGTCCATATCGTACAGCATAGTGTAAAGGTGTGGTGTTGTCCTCATCTCTCTTGTTTACTAATTTTTGAAATCTTGCTTGGTTTTTCGATGCAAGTTTGGAAAGTCTTTGCTTGATGACATCAGTTTTACCATCTCTTGCAGCCTGTAAATCAATCCAACACATTATAATAACGAAATTTAACTATATAATAATCTTAAGAAAAAGTGAATAATTGGCAATATTAAGCATTCTCCAATCCCAATCTTCTGTTCTGGCACTTTGTTTTCTACTTGCAGTTAAGGCTTTGGTTGACTTCCCTCAAAAGTTACAGATCAATTTGTACATGCTGAGCTTTAATTATTCAAAGGCTTAAAATTTTTTAAAACAGTTTGGCTTTTCTCTTTTTCAGTGCTCTCCCTTATTTCAAGCATGACAGGTTGTTTGAAGTTTCAAGAAAACCAAGTGATTGAGATGTAGAAGTCAAGTGTTTAATTTAAATGAGAGATAAGGAATTTAAGTTGGGTAAGTCTGGCAGACTAACAGAGGTATACTCAGAAACAATCTTTTTACTCAGTTTTTCCTCAATATGGACATTTGTATTCTACAGGCAGGCTCAATTCCCAAAAGAGCTTCAGTTTTTCAAGCTTACAGTATCATTTACTAAAATAGCACAACTTTCACAGGAACCACTGAGCTTAAAATATACCAGCTCCTTTCCTAGAAAAGATTTGGAAGTTTCATCCCTTCCTTATCATATTTTAGAGGATTGAATAGTTTTTCTGCCTAACTAGTATGTTAACTCAGGCCTTTTAGAATCGGTGCACAATGTAATTGGATGTGGCAGGATGGCCAGTTTGTTTGGTCTAAGTGCTATTTGAGTGATTGGCATCAAATTCCTCCTCACTGTGTGAATGCTGACTCGAACATTAAGGCCTTGATGATAAATGAAATGATTGCCAACTTATGATTTACAAACCATTTCTTCTTCTCAGTACCATAGGATGCATATTGTTTGACTGACAAGGGTTAAGCTTTAATTATGCACTGTTACAAAATATAAACAATTTTCACCTAAGCAACTTTCCTTTGAGATCAAGGTGATGTTGGCAATAAGTTAAAACACCTCAAATACCAAAATACCACAAAAGGGTCACAACTAGTATCGCAACAATTATAGAAAACACCCCCTTGAATGTCATAAATATAATAAAGTAACAAATAATCTGTTATCCTTAAGAAGCAGTAGAAATGCAATTAAAAGTGGGTGAAAAAATTCAGTATTTAGGTTGCTTTGACAACTGAGTTGTCACTAAAAAATGTTCTTTAGTTAATAAAAAAGAGAGTTTATTTTCGCGGGTATAAATAATTATGGTTTGGGCCTGACACAACCCGAGCCGCGAAATGAGGGTTAAAACTCTAAGAACGACCTTACATACATTTATACTTTAGCATATTAAGTGTATTTCTACATGTATTATCATCATTTTGGAGAGTACCCAGAAAAATAAAGACAGAAAAAAAAATGTTCCATAAGAAATAATCTTTGCAGTGATAAACCGATGTTAATTTTTAATGTCACATTTGTTGGCTTTGCATAAGACTCTCAACGTTGAATCGACAACATTTCCCTTTTTTTTCATTGTATCATCAGTATAAATGAACAAAACAAAAACAAAGACCTTGGAGGAAAAAATTACAAAGGAAAATTAGGTAAGAAGTTTTACGTAGCCTGAACAGAAGATTACACTCGACGGCTTGGTATGTTAAAAATGTTGAATTGATGTACTGCCACAATTATTATGTTTAAGTTCTTTCTTCGTTTGAGAATACTAATTTAAATAATAATACGGGCCGCTCATAGATCACCTGCTTTTCATGCAGCTTGAGTTTACACTTCCAGAAAAAAGTTTGGAAACTTCGTTAGAAGAGGTGAAATGTAATATTGTTCGTCAAGTTTGTTTGAAGTATAATCCCTTGTTTGTTAATAGCGTAAAATCGTAAAATCGTAAAATCTACCATCAAAAAGACAATTGAACAAAATATACTGAGGTGATTCATTGTTGTGAGGAACCTTCTAGCTCGACAATGATCAGTGCTATGAACGAAGGACGTATTTCTTTTCTGCTCAAGAAAGCTATAAAATTCAATCCGGTATAATCAAAATTTAATACTAACAATTTACGTTTTTGGAACACAGCTTGCTTGCATGGAATTAATTAAGCTGAAAGTAGTAAAATTTCAAATACATAGTTTTACCTGATGAAGCGTAATGTGCGAAAAATCGTCGATGTCTGGGGGCTGTATTTCCGTTGCAGGTTGCACGGGCTGTGGGTTTACTTGAGTCATTTCTATCGGAGAGGTTCGATCGTAAACACCGTCTCGATCTCCAACGAAAGTGTACGACATTTTTTTGCGGAGCCAAGGACACAACGATAATTACTAACTACAGCGAGACCAAGGACTGCAAGATACGCAAATAGAATGAAATTAGCAAGGCAGGCCCGATGTAACACTACACAACCTTAAGATGACTACTTCGCTTATGTTAATACTCACTACCTCTGTTACTCATCTTCCAAGGTTGTCAAGCATTTCTTAACTTTCAAGGCATTATGGGTCACGGTATTTTGGGTTGTGACGTCAAATCTTAGGCACGATCTCGCAGAAAACCCTGCTGTGAGGAGCTTTCCCTGAGCCGTCTAAAGATAAATTCTTTAAGAGATGAAGATAACAAATAATAACAAAACAAAAATATTAAGAAGATGACTTTGCATCCAGTTTTATTTCAATCACTAGATTTGGTCCTTATCTACGTCAAAAAGCTGTGGTCAAGTGGTTTTCCGTCGTTTTAGTTTCAGGTGACTTCTAAAAATTTCCTTCTCCGCTAGAGTTCCGCGACACGTTACCCAAAGAGGAAGCCATCGATTCTAGACTCATTAGCAAAGTATATTCAAGAATGAAGACACGTTTGGCCGCTGTCAGCGAACTTTTCTTAAAAGTTCAATTCACTCATATGAGGGGTGAAACATTTTAAATTTATTCAAGCACTGATTTTAGATCCGGTGCTCGAGGTACTAATCACACAAACTACCCATCTTTTCGTTGATAGATGATTGTATTCTGTCTACTATTTTAGTTCCTGATCTTTTCAATATCGATTTTCATACACATTTTACAGCTCTTTTCTGTTTATAATTTTCAGTGACGTCCGTTTACGTCATCAGATATCGAAATATTGGCCTGAATTTGTGATAACGATCACGGATTTTTATTATTCTGTAGTTTCAGAACGTCTCATACCTATTCAGCATTGCTAGTTCCGTCTTAGAACAATATGATCATCCTGATTAAAAATCCAAGAGAACTAATGTTTTCTTGTTAGCATTGACGCCCAGAAGGATATTGCACCATAACATTCGAATAACAATAACAATTCCAACAACAGAGATGTAAAGACTTTCTATGCCTCCGAGAAAATTGAGACTGAAAAATGTTTAATAATTTAACCGTTTTTGAAAATGCAAAATATCACCCACAGTTTGAACTAAGAGAGCGCAATTAGAATAATAATACGACATACACCTTCTAAACTCGATTGACAGACCAAACATTGCTCTTGTTCGCAGAAGTTTCTTAATCATCTTTTGATCAATGCTATGTCTAACACCCATAGTTGGAACTAAGAGCGCGAAATTTCAGAAGATTCATACGACATACACCTTCCAAACTCGATCGACAATTCTAACATTGCTCTTGTTCGCGGAAGATTCTTAATCATCTTTGGATCAATGCTATTAATAATATTTTTGCTCAGATAAACTAATTCAAACTTGATGCTTTGTAACAGAACATCGATTCAGGCAGCTAGAATTTTCTTAACTGATAGAACAAGTTATTTCGCACAGTTTGAGTAGCCTGTTAGAAAGATTGACCTCTCATTATAAACAGTTGACAGGTGAAGCTATCTTACGCAGATCTTGAATAACTGCTGCTTCTTGGAGTGTGACTGAGGGAATACCGTTCAATAGGGTTTGTTTTATCACCACTGTTACTATGGTTGCAAACACATCTTACATACACAATTTATACAACCTTGGCATAGATAGTTAAGTAACAGAGACAATTACCTTTGAAGCTTATGACTTGATTTTAATTAAGTTACAAAGCATCCTCATCTGGAAGGATAATTTGTGACAGGCAAGATGGAATTTGTTTCGTATATTTGCGGACATGTGGGCTCTTTATTCCTCTTTTCTTGCAGAGTCGCCGCAAGAGACCGAGGTGAAACTGCGAGCCACGAATAAAAACGGTCAAAATACTTTCAACAAATTGATTTGTGTAAGAAAGGTGCTTTGGAGTTAGGAATACATTCTAATTAAAAAAAAGAATCATTGCATCACGCAAGTTCGCCCCAGGCTACCGCCTGGTCGAGTTCGCCCCTTAAAGTAACACTCTTTTCCTAAATCATAATATATTTCGATCAACATGCAATTTTATTTTTTTCTCAATCAAGCACTTGACTACGGAAACAAGCTCAGTTACTATGAAACAATGGGCCTAACGACACACAAGCACACATATCAAACTACTAAATAAGCACAATGGTCGTTGCCTAAAAAAGTTTGTCAGCTACTGAGAGGGCAAGCCAATCTCTTTACCGCACGTAAAGCCGCCAGCTTTACAGGCTACCTCTGAACTGCCAAAGAGAAACATAATGGCCTCTCGTATCAGTTTTGTTACCAAAGGGGGAACTGACTGGGATAAATCAGCACTTATATAATTTTAAAGACTACAAATTGCACTAGCCCTACGGGCTCATGCAATTTGTTTATCCCTCGAAAAATTTACTCGTGCTTATTTATCCCAAATTGCATTCGAAATCATGTAATTACTTATAAATGGCACCGTTTACAGATTACAGCGCCGGACATTTTGGAGTGATATCGTAAAATTTACAACGGTTTTCCTCCTTTTTCCTGATTTTTTGTTTTGTAAGCGATGTATAAAGAAGAATGGTGTTATTAATTCGAGATCATCAGTGTATCCTCAAACTTCCGAAATCTCTCGTTTTTAGATATCCTTTATTATCTCCTGCCTTAATATGATTTTTGTGCACGAATGTGCATCGCACAGCAACATTCGTCCAAATATATTTCCGGTTGTACTTATCTTAGTATTTTGTCAAAAATAAAGTACTTTGTTGATCCGATAGATATGAAGCTTGTACGGTGATAACCAGAACAAATATTTAACCTCAGAGTCGGTGAAAGGGTAGGATATCTACATGTACCTCTCGCTTGATGAGAAATTGTTAAATAATCTCTCACTTTGGTAAATCAATGGTCTGAGAAAAACTTACTTTTGAAATGACACCTAAAATTGAGAGAAAGCGGATTTGAAGCATAAATCTGGAAGGCAAAATCTGAAAAGCTGCAAAAAGGAAACACATTTTGCCTGAGATTAGAAAAAATAAGCACAGTTGAGCATATAAATTGAAATTGAAAGCCATGAAGTACGTATCTAACAAGTAAGAACTATTGAGTAAACTAGACGAGTTTGATTTCACCCGTATCAGGGATGGGTACTTAGTTTAAGTCAGTGTTGTAGGAACTTAAAGATAATAATAATGATAGTAATAACATAACAATATATTCAAAATAGAACGTCTAGGATTGCGTGGACGAGCGCAGTTAATCAATTTAAACTGTAACAACCCTAAGAAAGATTTTCAAGTTAACATTTGCAACGATGAATAAAAGGATTTTTCCTCGTCACTACTTTGTGGATATCTTAATTTTTTTACAATCATATCCGAACAACTCGGTCAAGATCTCATAGTTTTTATTACTTCCTATTGTTTGGATGATTGGCATATCTTCGTCTTGTGTGAAACGCTCTAAGTTTGCTGATTACTGAGGGTGAATACAAAAACCAAAAAACACTTGCAGTTAGATAAAGTCATGAAAAAATTGTGAATGAATCATCATTGCAGAGAACGTAGAGGTCCAAACCAGCGTAATAAACGATTACATACCAAACGAACAACGCTTCATTTTGTTGTTGGAAACGAACAACTTTTCCCTTTGCTTTTAGGAACGAAAAACGCTTTTAGAATCTTCATGGTGTTGTCGGAAACAAAGAGCGCTTTAGTGATAAAAATTTCTCAAATTATTGCCTTATTTACAGTCTGATATTCTGATCTTTTAAGTATTTTATTCTTCGGACGACTTGACTTTTTTTCGGGCGACATAACCATAATTTCTTACGGTCAAGTCGCAATCTCGCCCAAAGTCATGTCGCCCGAAACCTGAGTCATGTTACCCGAAAAAAAATAATAATGTGCGAGAAATCGTCAGTATCTGGGAGCTGTATTTCCGTTGCAGGTTGCTCGGGCCATGGGTTCATTTGGGTCATTTTTACCGGAGAGGTTCGATCATAAACACTATCTCGATCTCCAACGAAATTGTACGACACTTTCACGAAGCCAAGGACACAACGATAATTACTACCTACAGCGAAACCAAGGACTGCAAGATACGCAAATAGAATGAAATTATAAAATTAGCAAGGTAGGCCCGATGTAACACAACACAACTTATCCGTAAAATGACAACTTTGCTTATGCAAATACTCACTACCTCTGTTACTCATCTTCCAAGGTTGTAAAGCAAATTTAACTTTTATGGCATTGCAGGTCACGGTATTTTGGGTTGTGACGTCAAATCTTAGGCACGATCTCGCAGAAAAACCCGCGTGGGGAGCTCTCCCTAGGCAGTCTAAAGATAAATTCTCTAAGAGATGAAGATGAAAAACAAAAACAAAACTAAAACATTAAGAAGATGACTTTGCATCCGGTTTTATTTCAATCGCTAGATTTGGCCCTTATCTACGTCAAAAAGCTGTGGTCAAGTGGTTTTCCGGTGATTTAGTTTCAAGTGACTTCTAAAAATTTCCTTCTCCGCTAGAGTTCCGCGACACGTTACCCATAGAGGAAGCCATCGATTCTAGACTCTTCAGAAAAGTATATTCAAGAATGAAGACATGATTTGCCGCTGCCAGCGAACGTTTCTCAAAATTTTAATTCACCCATATGAGGGGTGAAATATTTTGAATTTATATCAAGCACTGATTTTAGATCCGGTGCTCGAGGTACTAATCACACAAACTACCCATCTTTTCGTTGATATATGATTACATTCTGTCTACTATTTTAGTTCCTGATCTTTTCAATATCAATTTCCATACACATTTTACTGTTTATAATTTCCGATGTCCGTTTAATTTGAAATGAAACAACGTCATCAGATATCGAAATATTGGCCTGAATTTGTGATAACGATCACGGATTTTTACCATTCTGCAGTTTCAGAACGTCTCATACCAGTTCAGCATTGCTAGAAAAAGTTCTGTCTTAAAAACAATATGATCTTCCTGATTAAAAATCCAAAAAGAAATAGTGTTTTCCGTTTAGCATTGACGCACAGAAGGAGTTCCGTCTTGTAAAAAAACTAGTTATTGTACCATGACATTTGACGCGAGGACTCCAATAACAAAGAGATGTAAAGACTTTTTATGCCTCCGAGCAGATTGAGACTTAAATATGTTTAATAATTTAACCGTTTTTGAAAATGCAAAATATCACCGACAGTTTGAACTATGAGAGCGCAATTAGCGACATGCAGATTGACAGACCAAACATTAATCAATCATCTTTTGATCAATGCTATGTCTAACACCCATAGTTGGAACTAAGAGCGCGAAATTTCAGAACAGTCATATGACATACACCTTCCAAACTCGATCGACAATCCTAACATTGCTTTTGTTCGCGGAAGATTCTTAATCATCTTTGGATCAATGCTATTGATAATATTTTGCTCAGATAAACTAACTCAACCTTGATGCTTTGTAACAGAACATCGATTCAGGCGGCAAGAATTTTCTTAACTGATAGAACAAGTTATTTCTCACAGTTTAAGTAGCCTGTTAGAAAGACTGACCTCTCATTATAAACAGTTGACAGGTGAAGCTATCTCACGCAGATCTCAAAGCATCCTCGTCTGGAAGGATAATTTGTGGCAGGCAAGACGGAATTTGTTTCGTATATTTGCTGACATGTGGGCTCTTTATTCCTCTTTTCTTGCAGAGTCGCCGCAGGAGACCGAGGTGCAACTGCGAGCCACGAATAAAAACGGTCAAAATACTTTCAACAAATTGATTTGTGTAAGAAAGGTGCTTTGGAGTTAGGAATACATTCTAATTAAAAAAAAGAATCATTGCATCACGCAAGTTCGCCCCAGGCTACCGCCTGGTCGAGTTCGCCCCTTAAAGTAACACTCTTTTCATTTTCTGTCGAAATCATAATATATTTCGATCAACATGCAATTTTATTTTTTTCTCAATCAAGCACTTGACTACGGAAACAAGCTCAGTTACTATGAAACAATGGGCCTACGACGCACAAGCACGCATATCAAACTACTAAATAAGCACAATGGTCGTTGCTTAAAAAAGTTTGTCAGCTGCTGAGAGGGCAAGCCAATCTCTTTACCGCACGTAAAGCCGCCAGCTTTACAGGCTACCTCCGAACTGCCAAAGAGAAATATCATGGCCTCTCGTATATATTTTCTTACCAAAGGGAACGGACTGGGATAAATCAGCAATTGTACATTTTTTAAGAATACAAATTGCACTCGCCCTACGGGCTCATGCAATTTGTTTTACCTTCGAAAAATTTACTCGTGCTTATTTATCCCAAATTGCATTCGAAATCATGTAATTACTTATAAATGGCACCGTTTACAGATTACAGCGCCGGACATTTGGGAGTGATATCGTTAAATGTACAACGGTTTTCCTCTTTTTTCCTGATTTTTTGTTTTGTAGGCAATGTGTAAAGAGGAACTGTGTTATTGATTCGAGATCATCAGTGTATCCTCAACTTTCCGAAAGCTCTCGTTTTTAAATATCCTTCAGTTTATCTCCTGCCTTAATATGACTTTTTGTGTACGAATGAGCATCGCACAGCAACATTCGTCTAAGTAGATTTCCGGTTGTACCGGCTTATCTTAGTATTTTGTCAAAAAGAAACTCATTTTCTTGATCCGTTTATCTGAACCATTATGAAGAAAATCTAGAGGACTGCCAAGCTTACAAGCCAAGCCATGAAATGTTAAGGTCTGAATAATTCTGGGCATTACTTACATTTCTGGACATTACTGATTAACAACAATACCATTTATTTTAGTTAACAGTAAGGCGCATACTCCTTTTAATTGCGCGAGACTATTATACTATTATTGTCCTCCGCCTAATTAATACTTACAAGTTACTTCTAAATTTCAAGTTATCAGTTTAAACTTTGTAAAACTGTTATTGTTTATGTGGAACGAATTGACTATTGCGTGGAATGAAACGACTTTTTGGTGGAACGAAATTATTTTGACTTACTTTGACTTGGAACGAAACGACTTGGAAAGAAACGATCATGGAACGAAACGACGGTAAACCCCCAGCCGGTTGTGTCATTTTGTACCCAGCTCGGTCGTATCGTATCCAAACAAATAAAGTATGTTTTCCATGGCAAGTATGTTTAAATTAAGGTCGCTTTTTTTTAATTGTGAATTGCAATATTGCATGCGCTAAATACGTTTTGTTGACCTGGTGTTCATTTTTGAAGCGCGACTACTTTGTGAGTCCAATTTACATTATCAACCAGGCGATAAAACCAAGTCATGCAAGGGAAGGGGAAATGAATCATGGAAGGGTTAACAATCAGGCTAGAATCTATCAGCGGTTTTGGCAAGAATCCACAAGTGATTTGGGTACGAAACGATTCAAACGTGGGTACAAATTGACCGAATATCATTTTGAGGAGCGCGCGCACGATTATGTATCATGACGATGTCATTCACTGACATTGTAAACGTATCGTGGTGGCTTAAACACGTATTTTTCCCAAAGATGCTCGAAGAGGCTGATCAATGCTCTGAGGGAGTAGGTGCCTTTCTGAGTATAATAACACAGGATCGTGAAGAAAATTCAGTGGTGTGAACTCCGCCGATCGAGAAGTTTCATTCGAGCACAGCGGGAAGCTATAGATGTACTTCTTGATCCTGGATTTCTCGAAGTTTTCAAAGTGAAAGAGGAGCAGGAAAACGGATCACAACTAAAATCACTTCATTTTGCCAATATTGAGAGAAAGTGCTCTGAAATATCAAGTCACCGACCCTCGCGATCGCTCTCTCACGATTATTACAAGCCTGATAACCAAGCAATTTGTGTAAAGGGGTGAAGGATGGAGAATTTCTGGAGAAAGAACAACTGGGAGAAGTAAGTGGTGAAGTCAGCGCTGAGGTAACTCAGAGAGTAGATGGTCGGCAATTGAAATCTCTCTACTGGAGATCGCTGAACCAGGGGCATAACTGCAGTGGTGATTCTTGTGAGAAATGCAAGCGAGTTCTTTTGGTAAAAAAAGCTGCGGATAGATTTGAAATCTTTCCACCGGAGATCGCTGAACCAGAGGCATAACTGCAATAATGATTCTTGTGAGAAATACAAGCGAGCTCTTGAGGTTAAAAAGGTTGCGGACAGATTTGAAGTAATTAGAGCTGCAAAACAAGTACTCCAAGAAAGCCGGAGTAACGAGAAGACCGAAGACGAAGAAAGTGATGAGTTTGGAGAGAGCTTGGAAAAAATCAAACGGGAAGATTTTGCAGGAGTATGGCGCTCGCACTGAACGCGTCAACTGTGGTTCAGAAATCCAAGACCCCAGCTGCGCAGGATGTCAGCCGTGTTCTCACAGGTGGTATTTGTAAGTGGAATCAACTGGTGCTAAGTGAAATGTCTGCAGGTGTATATAAGGGGCGTGCTTTTAATAACAAATCGCGCAGTTCAACTCCTAAACCTAACGAAGGGGATTTGGGGATGGAAAGAGAAAGGCGCATTAGCCTTACTTGTGCCTCTAAACTTAAATTTATACGCGAATATTTGGATGATGAGCCTGACTGCGAGTCCGAGGAGATAACTTCAGCTGATCTAGCTCCCAGGTCTCAGACAGACATCGTGTTCACTCTTCCCTGTTCGTAGGAGCGACGATGTGTTCGACCCAAGCCTCTAAATCCAAGAATTGTACTTCTAGACATGGTAGGTAAGGAAATCGATGAAAAGCCGACAACCAGTTTTGAGAAGGGAGGCAGAATAACATTCCTCAGAAAGTTTATTACTGTCAAGTCCTTAGTTCGAAGATTTAATAGCACAGAATCCGACAGCTGGAGTGAGAGGACTATTCCTAATCAGGATCTGGACGAAAAAAGGACTGCGTCATAAAATCTTAGTATTTTTAACTACTAAGAAAATTTTGAGTTCGGTTGGTTCTGACAGTTTAATTGAATAAACCTATTCGCTAAATGTTGCACTTCATCTTTAGTATGTTTTTTTATTGAAATTAATTATAAAAAAAATATATCTTATTCATCATCCCTTGAAGTATGGCGAAGCTGTAAAAATATTGACTCCAGAAAACAAAGCGCCTTCACAGAAACTTTTATCGCACTGCTTAGCACAAAAGAGCAATTGAGCAAAGAAACTTATAATTGCTTTGTTACCCATTCGACGGATGTAGCCTGCTCTAAAGAGCGAACAGTTTATCACAAAAAGTCACGGACTAAAACAACTTATCGTCTTCATCGTCGTCTCCTTCGACGTTGGCATCAAGTTTCTTGACGACTCCCGCCAGCATCTTATGTAACCCCTCCAGGTTACACTGCATTGTTTTCAAGCGATTCCTCATTCCTAACACAGACTCTTGGAGTTCATCCGTTCGGTCTGACAACACTTCAAGGGACGACTACAACAAGATAGCAGCAAAGGAAAATAAAAAGTCAGAGGTTTAAGTTGAGAGTCAAATACCAAAGAAGTGAGTGCAAGTCTCCCTGCAGAGAGCCACTTTTCTGCACTACTTCTTTTTTCTGAGTTCTCAATTCCATTTTAAGGAAAACTCCCGCCTGACTGTGACCACGAGCCTGCTCTTGATGGCGAAATATTAGTCGTTCATCAAAACAGTCCTCTTGTGATAAAATTCACTCTCACCCTGACTCTAAATATGAAGCCTAAATACTCCAACTATTCCGATTACTCAGCCATTTTCGTGGAAAGATAAATAACCATGCAAAATAGTGATCAAATTTTGATGAATTTTGCCCCTCACCGAGGGAGAATAAAAATTGGGGAGTGAATTTTTCTGTAGAGGAATTTTCAAATGATTGTCAAAAAACACGAGAAGCAGGATTGTTTTAGCTTGGCTATCTCCGCTCTGTGATTGGCCCAGAAAACTCGCGGAAATTCTCAACCAATCAGATTGAAAACTAAAAGAAACCGCGATCTGATCAATGGCGTTTTCCCGCGCTTCATAGTTTGTTATGATTGGCCGTTGTTATCCCTTTGGTTTTAAGACACTTATCGAAGTGCACTCTGTGATCCCACTCAAGTTTTTTCTAGACTCAAGGTATCTTGACACACCCTGAATCATATCACATGAACCTTGAATGTGACTCGAATTCTTCAGTTGACGGCAAAATTATGCCCCACGGGACATGATCAGTTATTTCTGGATCCATAAGGAGATCTCCCAAAAATGAAAGGTAAAACCACAAAAATAATGGATATTATTACAAGTATTACAAGCAGAATTAAGTATCTCAGCTTGATCCTTTCTTGTTGCAAATGGATTAATTTGCATTTACCTTGTTCGGCTTCAACGCTTCTTGGACTTCCTTTGCAGAGATGGGGGGACTGTACCAGTAACCTATGAACCCTTCATACTGGTTTGGTCGAACGACTTCCGTTTCTGGTACAAGCCGCTTCCGAATTCTTCTGGGCAAAGCTTTTTCTACATCCATTGCTAAATCAACCTTCAGTAAGAAAGAAAGAAACAGTCGGTCAGCTAAACGAATTGCCATTATTACAGAGGGTACCACATGCAAGAGTGAAGTAAAACATTTGCGTGGATTGAAAGCGAGAAATGTCTTTCAAGGCTGCGCTAGGGGTGGGTGTCAAACTTCATTCTTCGATCTCGACGTGTTTTTCTCGTTTCTGTGAGACGCAGCCGATTAATCAAACAATCAACTAGTCATTTACTTCAACAGTCAGTCAGACAGTCCGTTGGTCAATTAGTCAGTCAGTGAGTCAGTCGGTCAATCAGTCGGACGATCAGTCAGTCCATCGGTCGATTAATCACTCAGAAAGATACTCAATCAGTCAGACATTCAGTCAGTTGTCAGTCAGTCAATCAGTCCCTCCGTCCGTCAGTGAGTCAGTCAATCAGTCAGTCATTCAGTCAGCCCGTCCATCAATTAGTCAGTCCATCCCTCAATCAGTCAGTCAGTCCATCAATCAGTCAGTCAGTCCATCAATCAGTCAGTCAGTCCATCAATCAGTCAGTCCGTCCATCAATCAGTCAGTCAGTCCATCAATCAGTCAGTCAGTCAGTCAGTCCATCAATCAGTCAGTCCATCCCTCAATCAGTCAGTCAGTCCATCAATCAGTCAGTCAGTCCATCAATCAGTCAGTCAGTCCATCAATCAGTCAGTCAGTCCATCAATCAGTCAGTCAGTCCATCAATCAGTCAGTCAGTCCATCAATCAGTCAGTCAGTCCATCAATCAGTCCATCAATCAGTCAGTCAGTCCATCAATCAGTCAGTCAGTCCATCAATCAGTCAGTCAGTCCATCAATCAGTCAGTCAGTCCATCAATCAGTCAGTCAGTCCATCAATCAGTCAGTCCATTTATCAGTCAGTTAGTCCATCCCTCAATCATTCAGTCCGTCCATCAATCAGTCAGTCAGCCAGTTAATCAGTCAGACAGACAATCAGTCCGTCAATCAGTTTTTTAAAGATTTACGTCCAGGTAACCATGAAACAGATAAACTATAGGTAAGTGAGAGTAACGTCATTTCGATGGAACATTCCTTAATATCAGTCCCAAGCCGTTCTCGGGAAAGAGAGAAGAGGAAAGGACCTGGGCGCATATTGGGGGATCTGTGTATGAATTTGAGTTTCTATAACGCTACTGGCTTTATCCGTACCAACATGGCTTGGCGCTCGAGTACAGCCTGGTCCTGGACACCTTTGATGTCATCCACAGCCAAACCAATCTTAGGAGAGAATAACACAGAGAATCATCAAAACAGATCATACTCGCAGCCAAACGCAGGTTTTGAAAACATCTACCCTGAAGCGTCAGCATTAATATATCAAGTATTTCATTTAAGTTGGTTTTGTCCTATCGATGATGTAAAATTGAGCTTTACTAAGGTTGACCATCGTATACTGAAGGCAACACGGTATCTGTGATATGATGTAATTTTCATTTTTACTCATTTCACAATTGTAAATATTAATGTAGCAAGATAAAATTGCGAATTTATTGAAACAAACTAACCATATTACTCAAAGTTGACGAAGATCTTATTTGACGTGTTATGCGGATACTTAGGCTCTATAGAAGGATGATTCAGTCTACAGAGCATCATACTTTGCGTGATAAAAGGCCGTTTCCAAGTTAAAAATCCCTTTTATAAATAAAGCAGAGTGAAGCGAACAAAGCGCGCGTATGGGCCTGGTGGAATCGCACGCGTGTTATGCAGACTGTTCTTGTGAAAATAAAAAAGGTTTCGGTTGTAGTTTAGTTGACACTTCTAGGATACTGTAATTTAATGTTAACAACTGGGTTGAAAACGTAAATTAGCCACCGTAAAGGGTAAAAAAGCTGACGTTTCGAGCGTTAGCCCTTCGTCAGAGCGATTGAACTAAGAACTATCGCTCTGACTAAGGGCTAACGCTCGAAACGTCAGCTTTTTTACCCTTTACGGTGGCTAATTTACGTTTTCAACCCAGTTGTTAACACTAAATTACCTGCTATACTCTCCCACCGACGCAGCGCCACAGTTTCTTTAGAAACTTACCCCCTTACTTCTAGGATATGCCCTGTTCTGATGGAGAATGGGCATGTCAAGCAAGCCCTGAGTATAATCAAGAGTGGTCAGAATTAATCAAGACGAAGCAAATGAAGACGAGGAAACTCACCAATAAGTTCATCAAGATGAGAGTCATGATAATCAAGAAGACAATAAAAATAAACCACGCGACATCAGGAACATCCTGGTCTGGCGAGTTGAATAAGTCGTCGAAGTCAAACTCTCCAATCATCATCACTGCTGTCTTCACGATAGCACGGCCGGGCTCCCCAAACGCACGGATGCTTTGCTGTGCAAGGGATAATTTGTGTGAGTACTGAATGATTTTGGAAGGTGAGGGAAGAGGGTCCTTGTCACGAAGTGGCTTTATTTGAGCCAGATAGGATCTCTTCCTTTAGAAATGGCTTTTATTTCAGACATAATACCTCTTGGTTTAGCCCCTAAAGGCAGATTTACATGATGAAAACTCAAAATTTCGGGTAAGACGTTTATTGCATTTTTCTGAAAAAATTGTTTATTCCTTAAGAATTAATATGTCAGAGCATACTCCTTCATTGCGCCAATAGAACATTAAACATTTTGACGTAACTTAAGTGAATGTTTGAGCCTTGCCGCAATTCAGTAGGAACGAAATAATAAATAACGAAGGGGAAAGAAAACGAAAAAACTTAAATTACAACTTTCATTAATGTATAAAGTGAGACCTGCTCAACTATTTCATTACACTGTTCACAAAAAAAATAATAAACAGACCGTAGGAAGTGGCTAAGAGCTTCCCAGTTGACTGTACAAAGCACAAGGATTTTTTTCTTAATTTCACTGTAACTGAAGAAATTCTCGCGAGCTTATCATTGACGAAAGTGTCTACCATAAAAATGACGTAATTTCCTCCCTTACAATCTTGTATCATGATTTGATGTACCTGAGGTCCATAGATGAATGACATAAAATTCATTTTGTTTTGGATGAAGTAACTACGCTTTTATTTCCGTGTTTGGAAACCAGGTTTAGAGTCTTACTGGTTATTGCAGGACTAGCGGCCCAGCTTGTACTGCAAACTGTCCGAAACATGTTCGAAAAGAGTACGAACCGTCCAAATTAGGGTTTAACCGTCTGGAATCGGACGGAACCACAAAATCCGAAAATCGCTGTTGAAAAATTGTAGTACACATCGACGAGCGTGCGAAAACTTCTATAACTGTTGTGAAAAATTAAAAGTTATTACTGTTAAATGACACACTCCAACGCCTGTATGTATCTGTGTGGATTTGGAAGAGATCTAGCTCACCTGAGGATCATAGAACAGCGTAAAAAACGAAAGCGCAAAGGCGACGAGGAACAGCACAAAGATCATGAAGAATTTCGTGAATGTGTAGAGAATGCTTGTAAACATCACCACGTAAATACCAAGCTTTGGAAACTTTCTGATAAATAACACCAAAGCCATCCAAGCTAGAAAGATTGATAAGGCTCCGATGGTTTTTTTCGCCTTCGAACAGCTGCAAAGTGAAGCAAAGAAACTGGCAAGTTTGAGCACGTCAAGTCATCGAGGGGGTTGGGGGAGAAATGCTATCCATTTTTCGGTTTTGGACACTAGAAGTTAGAACACTTGAGTTACAATTTTATAACACGAAATCAAAAAGCGTTCACTAACAAAGTACAACAGGGTTTTTAAGTGCAGACCATGTCAACATGTGATTCTGAAACTTCACACAACCTAGGATTATCTCCGACACGTACCTCCTGACTAAATTCACTTGAAAATCATCAGCTACGTTGACAATGGCTAGCGCATACACACCCCACTCCAAAAGGTTCTCCCAAGAGAAATACCGCCTGAGCTGATACACGAGTTGGAACAACTGTAGGGGGCCACGAATATCGAATTAGAAGATGCAAAAGAAAAAAAGGGAAAAAAATAATATATTTACATTACTGACCTACTTTCGATATGTAGGAGACCTGTCACTATTCATCACCAGGAGGGGGGTGTGGAGGATTCGAGGGAGGATCACTTAGTTCTCAGGGGGGGGAACAGTCTTCGCCAACAGAGTATAGAGGGAAGGTAGCCGCCAAAATTATTTGACTTTAGTCATTAAGAATTGGCATTTTTGCTCTTGGTCGCATTTTCATTAAATTCTTTTGTTTCCACTTTCTTTACTTTCATCGATATTCTGTAACTCTTTGTTTGCATAATATTCCTTTGGTTGTGTCATTCGTAGAATTCCTTAACCCACAAGTTACGTTTATCTACAAACTGAAGATTCACTTTACTTCAAAAGTCGTCGTGCTTTAAGACTAAAGCCTCGTTCAAACGGTCATGATTCTTGATGATAGTTTCAACTATCACTCACTATCATTGACTAACATGTTGGCGTTCAAACGGTTCACGATAGTTGGTGATAGCTGACAAAATCAGTCAATGAGATCGTGTAATTGTGAATAAATATGGTGCGCGCTGAGGTCAGCAATTTCAGTGGCATTTTGAAATTTTAGACTTGAGGTTGCGAGTTGAAGATACTGAAGCCTACCAGGAAATGTTGAGAATGAACCACGAGACATTCTGCGAAATTTTTACGGCTACTTTAGTCATTTTACCATTTGTCATATCGGTTTAAGCCCGTTTTTGGCAAAACTGTTGACGGAAAAACAATCATTCACTATCATCTGCTCGTTCAAACGGCAATAACTATCATCATGTAAAATTTGAACATGCCCAAACTACATAATAGTTGATAATTGTTCGTGTTAAAACGCGTGTGATGGTTGAAACTATCATCAACTGTCATGACTGTTTGAACGGGGCTTAAGTAACAAGAAATCCTCGCTTTCTTACGTTTCATGCACGGAGTGTGCCACTTATCATTACAGAAACGAACTCTAGCTCAACAATTTGTGACCACAGGCTTGACGCGAGGAGGATTAGAAAATTACAACTAGAGGCAAACGTAGGAGGGGGGAGGGGGAATGAGGAACCTTAAATTACAATTCTATTTATCAATTTTGATTTGCTTACTTTAAAATTCTAATACTGCTTTAAACAATCAGTAACAAGTATCCTACCTCAGAAAGAATATGCATCGATGCTAGCGCCAGTATCACTATACGCCCGACGCTTATCCACAAGATGTAACGAGCAGAGCTCTCGTCCGCAGTCCCTTTGTCAACTACAGTTCCATTGGCACAAACTGGGCCATGCTCAGTCATGTGAACAGTGTAACCAGTCAAAAACAACAGGAACAAGCAATAGAGGGCCAGCTTGAAGTAATAAATGTACCTGCCAAACGTCTTCCATTTGTAGTCTAACAGAAACGTGACAAGAGGATGGCCAAGCAACTGTTCACGTTTGTTCTTCACCTAAAATTAACAATTTAAGGTCATCAGATTGATCAAAGGGACTAAAAAAACCTTCCCTTCCTTTCTTCCTCCCCCTCCCTTCTTTCTACTCTTTTCTTTCCATCCCTCCTACCCTCCCTCTCGGACTCCCTGCCTCCCTCTAATTCTTGCTCTTTTCCTTCCTTCCTTCCTTCCTTCCTTTATTCCTCTATCCATCCATCCAGTCCACTTGTGCATCTTTCCTTTCTTCCCTCTATTCCTTATCCCTAAAATGTTTGCTTCTTTGCATTATTCCTTCATCCCTATAATTCCCGCCATTTCTTCTTTACTGGTCCATGCACACAACAGAAAAGCTTCATCTTGAGCCAAACTAAGCATTATCAACGACGCCGTTAGGGAATAAATATGCTTTCTAGTTGGTTATTCTTTCTTCCTCCGGATAACTCCCAGTCCCCTCTTTCTACCCCTTCCTTACCCCTTTCATTGAACCTCCTTCCTTTCCGCTGCACACCAACCATATCTTGCACTACTATACGAAGACAAACAACTCATTTAAAAGAACACAGAAAGGCGTAAATTTACCATAATCATAAGAGGATGACTATCCTTCTTCTCCAACTGAGTCACAGCTTCAACCACACCAGCTGACCCTTGAATCTTTCGAAACTCCTCATTCTCTTCGACGTCTTCTATTAAAAAGCTCGCTACACTGGACTTCTCCGAAGCTGCATCATCCCCATCTGACCAGTCCAAGAAGATATCTTCTAAAAACCCATAGTAAAATGTCAACTCGTACTTCTTGTCTTCGACATGGTGGTTACTTTCTTTGACACAACGGTTGAAGACTGCTTCTGCAACAGCTGAGTGCAGAAAGGGAAATTTCAGAAGAATTTCTTTAATTGTAATACGCTCCTTTTTTTTTGTTTACATTTATAAATATCGTTGATATTTATCTACCCTTCATCACTTGTCTTCCTTGCAAACACCAAATCAAAATATTTCAACGAAACTACAAAATTCCTCATAAACGACTATCAACAAGGTTAGCATTCACAAAATCACAAATGTCAAGATTTCTTCAGCACTGCAAGTAAGTCGCACATTCCATCGGTTTACCGACCAAAGAGCCGCTGCGGGAGCTCAGAGGAAGAACATGAGAAGGTTTGAAAGTCCTGAACCGAACTGAACGCAAATAAAGAAAGCGTTCTTTTGTAGCTTGTTTACACCCTGCTTAAAGATTTGAATAAGATTAAGATTCGACGTACAAGGAAGTTTAATGATCAGTTTTCTCAATGGAGTGGTGACGTGACTCTGTTCCCATGATTTGTTCTTTAGAACATCGATCCAATTTTCATCGTTGACAATGGCCATGGCTGCTTCCCTGTTGGACACAAGGAAACAGGTACATTTGTAATAACAAAACAACAGAAGCATTAGATCAATGGCCATGAATTACCATAGACAAACTATGGCCACGCTGGGAGCGAAATCATCAGCAGGAAGGCAAGTTGAGCGGCTGCAGGAGTTCTTCAGAATTTACATTATAATGCTTCATTGCAGCTTTCTGTCTGATGGTTACGTAACTCATAATCCCTTTAAAAAATTGATTCCATGTTGCCATGCTTCTGTTAAGTAAAAGATCACGGATGACGTCAAAGTGTGGTAAGAAGAAAAGAACGTCACACGAAGCGCATCCGAGTGTGCCACTTCACATACGCAGTAGCTCCTATCTGCGCGTCAAGCGCGCGTAATGTGTGAGAATTACAAGCGCTTGAACATCATGTAGTTCCACATGCGTTGGAAAAAAAATACACGAGACTGCGCGCGAACTCATCTCATTCGATTTTTATTATGTTAAAAAAGTATTGGTTCTCACTTGCGGCTGTGATCTGCTGCTAAGTCGAGGCAGTTTCTTCCACTCAGGTCTGTTAGTGTAATGTCAGCACCTTTGGACAGCAGGAGTGTCACCATATCAGCATGGCCCTCTTTTGCGGCCAAATGTAAAGGTGTGGTCTGTAAAAGAAACACGAGTCACATAAAGCAGAGTGTACGTGGGCAATGAATGAGTACTTTTCTAAAACGATAAAGAGATTCTTAAGTGGCCTTTTTACCCTCATGGGGCGCTGAGAGTGTTAAATTCATTACGATAAGGACTCCACTTCCTTGAGGAAAATCATAGTCATTTTTAACAGTTCAACCCGTCATGGTCTAACATCAGTATGAATATCCTCTATACTGTTCTCCATTTCCTAAGGTGCTCACAAGGAAAATTTGTTCAACAATCAAAAGCTTCTTTCGATGGTAATCATTTCCTTAATTCTCTGACCTAACTATGTGATTGATGGGGTAATACTGTTAGGAGAATTTAGATGCTAGTCACTCTCAGAGGTCAGAGGGTGACCTTGAATATCTTATTCTTTCAACAAGGTCAGGTACCTGACATCTCACTAATACTTTACTTGAGTAATACATCATAAATTAAGAAACTATTTTTTTTTTCAAACTTGACAAAAAGATTAATGGTTGCTTAGAATGTTTCTATGTTTTAACATTATCCTTTACCTTGATCTTATCAATAGGATCGACAGGTGAATCAGAGTCCAACAGGATGTTTGCTACTTTTAAGTGACCTTTAGCTGCTGCACAATCCAGGGGCGTCCACAATGTGGCGTTCCTTGAGGAAGATAAAACACTTGTTTATGTGACTATATTCGGTAAATAAAAGGTGCAATGTTGCGGGGGTCGGGAGGGTGGGGGAGAGGAGTATGAAAGAAAGGAGAGAATGAAAAGGGTCAACTTGCTTAAGGATGTAAATCAAAGGTTTTAGTCTCACTTTCAGTATTCCGGTCAAATTTCTTGAAGTTTAAACTGTTAAAATATCTATAAAGTTTTCCAAACAAAGAGTATTTAAAAAATTCTTTCATTCTAGTTTGAAGCAAGTTTATCAGAAAGAAGCGGGCGGCAACAACTCTTACCGAGTTGTGAGTCTCACTGAGTACTCCAACTCTCTAACCATAATTGGCGAGTAAGAAAAAATGTTTTAGTTGATCGAGGTGAGCTTGACAAAAAGATAAGAAAAATTTTTCTCGGCGCAAGCAACTCTGGGCACGAAACGACTGGTAACCTCTGGACTCATGGTATTTCTACACACCTAGCATCCACTTCAGCTCCATTTTCTAACAGAGCGTTGCAGCACTTTATGTGACCTTCTATGGCTGCCAAGTGAAGGGCTGTGTTTGATGCTTCATCTCGGTCGTTTATAACGTTACGATCTCTATTTATCAGCTCGAGAACAGTCCTAGGAGAGGGAAGATCATTATCATTTTAATTCAGAGCAATTTTTAATTGAGTGTCAAAAGTGATCTAACATTGCATTGATTTTGTCTCACTTCACCCTGTGATTGATCCAGAAACCTCGCGCCACTCTGTCAACCAATCACATGTAAAACTAAAAACAAAAATGACTTGTTCACCCGCGTATTACTGCCACTAAGGAAGTTTGCATGTTTTCAATTTGATTGGCTTTTAAAGGCTTTTTTTTTCCTTCTGATTGGCTATAGTGGTTCCTTTGGTTTTGGTTTTACACACACAAAAAACACAAAAAACTCTCTACAATAACAAATATATTTACTTAAACCACAAAAGTTTCACATTGTGTGCCACAGTGTCTGTGAAAAAATCCATGCTTTCAAAAGAGCAACCTCGATAACAACAATAGTTATACAATTGTATTTAAAACAAGCATAACAAAATATAGTTATTCCAAAGAAATATATTCCAAGTAAAACTTACAAATTGAACAAATTTTGACTGTCAATTAGCAGATAAATTGATGTGTGTATACCTTATTTTTCCATTTTTTGCAGCCAGATGCAGAGGGGTGTTCTCATCTTCATTTCTTGCATTTATCTTTGCTTTATTACCCAACAATGCCTATACAATGTTGTGAAGAGTCATCATAAAAAATGTTGAAAAAAAAATCAACATTAATTTAATAACACCTGTATCACAGTTAGATCACCAAACTTGATACATGATGTACTCCTACCTACACAGGTGTGGTCTACACTTAACAGAGTTGAATTAACCGGCAGAGACTACACTGACCAAGTAAGAGAGCTTTTTCAAATAATATAGTACAAAAATGATAAACTACTCAATCCAAAATGTAAGTAAATGTCAGTTAATGTTTGGCTACTCACTGAACTTAGCCTCACCTGAACAACAGAAGCATAGCCATTCATAGCAGCAACATGGAGTGGAGTGTTTTCATACCTATCACTCTCATTGATCAAAGCTTTGGCGTTTTCATTCTCCAGGATCACCTGACAAAAAGTTGCGAAATTATTCACAGTTATTTTATACACCTTTAGGTTAAAAAGAGTAAAAATCAATGGCAGAATTTAGAGGGTTGGTGTAAACTGTTTCTTTTTAAAAGAAATAACAAAAAATGTTAAGTAAAGGAGGGGTGAGAATGAGGAAATATCCATCAACTTGTGGCAGATGACAGGTTCAAAGCTTTAGACTATAGAATATTAGTGCTGCAGCAAAACTAATTAAAATGGCCCACTCTCTCTGACCGTAGAACTTACTTATCTTTAGTCGAATGTTATAAGATAGTTTTTGGTTTTTATCATTTAAATTTTGAAGACTTCTTTGATATTGCCACGATTCGGTCTACGAGAGCAAATCATCAATACAAACTCTATATTAAACCAGCTAGACTTAATTGTTACAAAAATTCTTTTTTTATTAGGATTGTCAAATTATGGAACGAGTTACCGGGTGATAGTGGAAGCTGACAGCTTTCAGCATTTTAAATCTAAACTTAAATCGTACTTAAATATTTGATTGTAATGATTTTGATTTATATTTTGTCTTTTCTTTTAAGGGAGTTTTTACACAGGGATAACCTCTTAACTTCCTTTTCTAGAAGTATTTTCTTTTTAGTTTTATTTGTATATAATAGTTATCATCTGCTTCTGGAATAAATAAAGTATGTATGTATGTATGTATGTAACTAATGAAAAAACATGAATATCAGAAACATTTCAAAATAACTGTTCTTTTGTTATGACAGAGAGTTACCTGAATGAAAATCAGGCATGATGCAACTGAACTGTTACATGATGCATTAATCATAATTGTACATGTAAGGCAGTAGTTAAATATGGTTTTACAGTTCACCTGCATTTCTTGATCTCTGTTTTGTCATAATAATATCATAATAAACAACCCAGTCCCCAAATAATCCTGGTGTGGCATGATTCTCTGACTCTAACAGCAAAATGCATGTATAATATATTATAATAATTAAAGTTAACATAGGCTGTGCATGCAAACCTGCAATAAAATGTATAGAACATACCTTTAAGGTGTCAACTCTGTTTTCCTCAGCAGCCAAAAAGATTGCAGTTTTATCATGAATGTTTTTAACTTGTAAATCTGCACCTTCACGTAACAGTTTTGACACAACATCTGTGTGTCCTTCTGATGCAGCAACCAACAACGGAGTGTAGTTATCCTTGTCAAGGCAATCAATATCAGCACCTCTGTACCAAGAGAAAGATATAAATTGTTCTCATTTAAGTTGGGTTTCTAGGAGCCTACTGGTACATTTATTGTTCAAAGTAATTTAACCTAGTGCAATCAGACGAATATAATAATAATAATAATAATAATAATAATAATAATAATAATAACTAAAATATAAGATATTAACTAAAGCTATACTATGTCCAGCAGGCACAGGTCTCTGCTATAACACACACACTCAGCCTCGAATTCTGACACACTGCTAAAGTTAGCTTCCTTCTGCATTGGGTATCTGAAATTACGTGGTAACTTATCCCTGACAGGTATTTCAAGCTTCTGGCTACTTCCTCATCACCTTTATCTCCATCTGCTTTTCTCTCCTACTAATAACTAAATACACTGCCTAACCTTTCTAACTTGACCTGATGTCACTTGAACTTCTCACAAACTTGAACTCAAAACCATTTCCATGACAAGTTTCTACTGCATATTCAGGTAATACACATCAGATAAATGAGTTCCTGCCACATGCAAAGGAGCTGTAACAAACTGGAGGAATCCTGACTCAAATACATTGTGCCATTAATGAAAATGACCCTTCAATGCAGATATAAGCCAAACATAACATTAAAATTTCTTTAAATGACCCAATTTTAACTATCATGCTGATTACTACTTCAGGGGATTATCATCAAGATATGTATGTTTGGATGCAGAATTTCTTTTAGTTTAAAACTTTCACGCTAGTTTAAGTTTCTTTTCTTTGTCACAGGTAATGGTAATAAATGTAGACCTGAGAAACAGCAAATTCAAAATTACTGGTTTGGAGAAGTTTTCACCAAGGAAATATGAAACACAACATGTGCAAAGGCAAGTTGACAGTCTCAACTCAATACTTGATCCTCGATACTTGAAACTATAGAGAATTGAGGATCAAGAATTGAGGCTTGAGTATCAAGTATCGAGGATCAAGAATCAAGGATCGAGACACTTGAAGAACTTTTACATCTGTAACCTTTCTTAATCTTACTTTTCAAGAAGAAAAGCCACCATAAAAATCTTATTAAAGGCAGCAGCCTTGTGTAATGGTGTCTCATGGTTCACATTCCTTGCTTCAATCTTGGCCTTATGAGCAACCAATAATTTTGCAATGTCAACATATCCGTTGATGGCAGCAATGTGTAATGGCTGTGCAAGGTTACCCCGTCTTGCTTTCACCTTTGCTCCTTTCTTCAAACAAATTTCAACAATATCAATGTAGCCACCTTCCACTGCAGAATGAAGTGCTGTTTCACCTTCCCTATTTCTGTCCTCTAACATCTCAAGTAGATTGCGCTTTCTTTCTGCATGCTCAAATAGAAGTTTAACAGTCTCTGGATTCCCGTCAGTGCAGGCGAAATGAATTGGTGTCATTCCCTCATAATCCTTTTCCCTCGGATCAGATCCTGCTTCCAGTAATGCCTCAACAATTTCTACATTACCTTCAGTGGCAGCACAATGAAGAGGTGTGGATCCACTGGCATCTGCCGCCTGTCAGTATGAAAGATATAGACACACAATAATTTACAACTTTTGGTCACATAGAACTTTATGTTTACAAGAGGTTGTGTCTTACACTTGCCAAGTGGCATATACTGTCAAAACTGATCAATTCCAACACCCTAAATCCAAGTTATCTTCTTTCACATTTGTCTATTAAGTTACACAACATAAAAAAACAAAAAACTCACATCAACATTTATCCCATCACACTTCAACAGTTCTTTTATAGCAGTTACATTGCTTTTTGATGCTGCATAATGAAGAGGGGTGCTTCCATAAGAATCTTTAACATTTACATCTCCTTTGCATTCATTCACAAAAAACTGAATTAGAGATTCATCCACTGAAGGAACCTGTAAGAAAACATTTCAGGGTGAATTCACAATAATTAAAACTGATAAATATGCCAGTATTAATAAGTTTGATCATGTGGTGTGCTCATCCTAAGAAAAAGACTATTCACTTCAGAGGTGAGTTTACTTCAACAACCTTGCTTCTTCTTTTACGCTCAGTAAACTGGTTAAACCTGTATTGAGAGCCAATTAGCTCACCCTGCTTGAACTTATCCCAGTTTCCTTAGCATCTAACAACAAGAAGTATCACTACTCCCCCCTGGATGGGATGTTTGTTGAAAAGGAACTGACAGTATGTGAATAATTAATTTTTTGCCCAAGAACCACCAATTGACTGGTCACTGATTTTGTCTCATCCACAAACCCAGTTGCACTTGAGGCAGAGTGGATTATGCACGTTTTCAAAACTCATTTCAACTCTATATTCTTGTTGAACTTGCTTGACACTCACAAATATCAAGATTTTGATTTTTTTCAGAGATGTCACAGAAAATTCAATGTTAGAGGTTATTTTTTTGGAAATCTTTGTCTTTCATTCTATTGATAAGCATGAAGTTTATAAATAAGTTATAGCAAAAATAAAATTAATTATGAAACACAAAGAGTGCATGTGCATGTGCTGGTGTACATGTTGCATGTTGCAGTTAAAACATGAATGGTAGGTTGAAAATTATATCTCAAAATGCCAGAGTTTGATTTGAAATTGATTAGTGTGAAGGTTCTGTTAAGTTACAAATCTGAAACAATTGAAAGTGGAAATTAAAATTAACAGTAAGTGGCAAAAGTAATTAGCATGCCTCCCTTGCTTAGGTTTTAGACAATTTTAAACATACAGCCGTAAATGTAAATAAAACACTACATATTGGTTGAGAGTAGCTATACTCCCCCAAACAATTTGACAATAATGAAACAATTAAAAAACCATAGTGGATTCTGATCTCTCAACTTTTTTAACCAATTATAATTCACTCGCATGATTTGTTTGACATTATCAATCCTTACCGTATGTAAATAATATGCTATTGTCACAGATGAACTGAACAGAACAATTAATGAAGGACTAATGCTCAAAATGTCAGCCTGAATTACCCTGTTATACTCTCCACCCAAGCAGCACCACAGTTTCTTTAAAAACTTAAGATATTGGATATTGTAGGTTGTTTGCTTAAAAAAAGGCTTACAATGTCATGGGGGGGGGCGGGGTCACGGGCACCCCAGGAACCCTTCCTAGCTGTGCCCTTCCACCTGTGTTGTGGTGTTGTGTGGTATATACTAACAAAACATATTCAACTGATGGTTTGCATGTCAAGATATTTGCCAATCACCGTCCATCACAAAAATTTTCCCCAAAAATTCCTTTGAATCAACTACAACATATACTCTTCAGACCTGTGACATAGCTTGGTTCACTTCTCCGAGACTATTGGAGCTGATGGCATGTGTCAGAGGTGCAGCTACAACACCTATATTAGTTTCTACTACCCCATCAGGAACTGTTCCATTTTCCCCACCAGCAATCACTTGTGACACTTGTCTGGCAGATGGGCGAGATAAGTTTGCTCGGAATCTTGCAGCATAATGCAAGGGAGACGCTCCATCTTCTCCAGGGACGTCAATAACTATCAAAAAGATAACATTTGGATAAGAACCTACTTGTTAGAGCAGGGGTATAGATAAAGAAGTCCTAAAGTGTTAAACCCTTTAACTCCCAGATCAAATTTGTAATTCTTCTAAATGTCAACCATACAATTCTTATAATGTTAGTTCAGAGAAGTTAGTATTGGATCAACTCATTATCACCAAATTGATATTTTTCTTTATTCTTATCACTTATCTGATTGACATTGTATTGATATTGTAAGGAAAAATTCTGTCTTGGTCACTCATGGGAGTTAAAGGGTTAACCCCTTAACCCCTGGTAGTGATTAACATGAACCTTCTCCCCAAATATCCATGCATTATTCAGCAAAACAGATGATTAGAATACTCAAACTTATCAGGTAGAAGCTACTATCTTGATCTAGCACCAAGCTCTCATTACTAATTTACAAGGAAATGTGCAGCCACTAGAGGGTAGAATTAACAATCAGATCTTGGGAATTAAAGGGTTAAGACCTACACCCCCTATTTAGCAATAATTATTTGTGAAAGGCAAAGTGAATATTGTTATATTATTCAACAATATTCACTTCCCCTTCTGCGAATAATTGGTCTTGGTATACTGTAATTGCTGTAGGTGCTTTCAAATTCTATTCTAAATGTTCACTTTGATGTTCTGTTTCAATAGTTTGATTACTTACTTACCACTAGTATTTAATGAGTTCATTTAATACATTCAACTAAAAACTTCAGATTGTTCTTTTGAAAAGTGTTACTCCAAACTAATACAGTGTAGTTAAACTTATAACAGCACCTTCTGTGCTTTTGGTATCCAATTTCCTTTGTTGCATTCATCAGTTCTTAACTAACACTGGTGAGGAGGGTATTTTTAAATTTAGCCTCCTATGATAATCACCATGTGTGATGTGATTATAGCAAGATACATTGCAATCCTCAACCAATCAGAGTGCATGCATCTCTAATTACCAGTGAGAGCAATTACACAAATGTAAGATAATTCTTTCTTACAGTGCATCAGTAACACACAAAGAGTATACTTTAGGTCTGTGAAAACGTAAGCGGAGGACAATATGCGCTTTTCAATCAAAGTAAAGTTCAGAACATGCAAAGAAAACTCAAAACTCCAAAGTGATTGCCGTTGCTATTTGAAGTAAGTCTTCTAATGCATGATCATCTTTATCCTTGGAAAACAATAACATTCCCTCAAGGCTATCAGTGTTTGCAATTTCATGGTAATTTCCAAAATTTCAATATGTTCAAGCTCCTAATACTATTCATTCCCTTGTGGATTATTTTGCAAGATTAGGAGTTTTACAGATCCTCATGCTATTCCAAGCATAAACAAGTTAATTACTTATAAAATAATTACCTGCTCCTAGCTCTACCAACAATTTGACAACCTCCACCTGTCCATATCGTACAGCATAGTGTAAAGGTGTGGTGTTGTCCTCATCTCTCTTGTTTACTAATTTTTGAAATCTTGCTTGGTTTTTCGATGCAAGTTTGGAAAGTCTTTGCTTGATGACATCAGTTTTACCATCTCTTGCAGCCTGTAAATCAATCCAACACATTATAATAACGAAATTTAACTATATAATAATCTTAAGAAAAAGTGAATAATTGGCAATATTAAGCATTCTCCAATCCCAATCTTCTGTTCTGGCACTTTGTTTTCTACTTGCAGTTAAGGCTTTGGTTGACTTCCCTCAAAAGTTACAGATCAATTTGTACATGCTGAGCTTTAATTATTCAAAGGCTTAAAATTTTTTAAAACAGTTTGGCTTTTCTCTTTTTCAGTGCTCTCCCTTATTTCAAGCATGACAGGTTGTTTGAAGTTTCAAGAAAACCAAGTGATTGAGATGTAGAAGTCAAGTGTTTAATTTAAATGAGAGATAAGGAATTTAAGTTGGGTAAGTCTGGCAGACTAACAGAGGTATACTCAGAAACAATCTTTTTACTCAGTTTTTCCTCAATATGGACATTTGTATTCTACAGGCAGGCTCAATTCCCAAAAGAGCTTCAGTTTTTCAAGCTTACAGTATCATTTACTAAAATAGCACAACTTTCACAGGAACCACTGAGCTTAAAATATACCAGCTCCTTTCCTAGAAAAGATTTGGAAGTTTCATCCCTTCCTTATCATATTTTAGAGGATTGAATAGTTTTTCTGCCTAACTAGTATGTTAACTCAGGCCTTTTAGAATCGGTGCACAATGTAATTGGATGTGGCAGGATGGCCAGTTTGTTTGGTCTAAGTGCTATTTGAGTGATTGGCATCAAATTCCTCCTCACTGTGTGAATGCTGACTCGAACATTAAGGCCTTGATGATAAATGAAATGATTGCCAACTTATGATTTACAAACCATTTCTTCTTCTCAGTACCATAGGATGCATATTGTTTGACTGACAAGGGTTAAGCTTTAATTATGCACTGTTACAAAATATAAACAATTTTCACCTAAGCAACTTTCCTTTGAGATCAAGGTGATGTTGGCAATAAGTTAAAACACCTCAAATACCAAAATACCACAAAAGGGTCACAACTAGTATCGCAACAATTATAGAAAACACCCCCTTGAATGTCATAAATATAATAAAGTAACAAATAATCTGTTATCCTTAAGAAGCAGTAGAAATGCAATTAAAAGTGGGTGAAAAAATTCAGTATTTAGGTTGCTTTGACAACTGAGTTGTCACTAAAAAATGTTCTTTAGTTAATAAAAAAGAGAGTTTATTTTCGCGGGTATAAATAATTATGATTTGGGCCTGACACAACCCGAGCCGCGAAATGAGGGTTAAAACTCTAAGAACGACCTTACATACATTTATACTTTAGCATATTAAGTGTATTTCTACATGTATTATCATCATTTTGGAGAGTACCCAGAAAAATAAAGACAGAAAAAAAAATGTTCCATAAGAAATAATCTTTGCAGTGATAAACCGATGTTAATTTTTAATGTCACATTTGTTGGCTTTGCATAAGACTCTCAACGTTGAATCGACAACATTTCCCTTTTTTTTCATTGTATCATCAGTATAAATGAACAAAACAAAAACAAAGACCTTGGAGGAAAAAATTACAAAGGAAAATTAGGTAAGAAGTTTTACGTAGCCTGAACAGAAGATTACACTCGACGGCTTGGTATGTTAAAAATGTTGAATTGATGTACTGCCACAATTATTATGTTTAAGTTCTTTCTTCGTTTGAGAATACTAATTTAAATAATAATACGGGCCGCTCATAGATCACCTGCTTTTCATGCAGCTTGAGTTTACACTTCCAGAAAAAAGTTTGGAAACTTCGTTAGAAGAGGTGAAATGTAATATTGTTCGTCAAGTTTGTTTGAAGTATAATCCCTTGTTTGTTAATAGCGTAAAATCGTAAAATCGTAAAATCTACCATCAAAAAGACAATTGAACAAAATATACTGAGGTGATTCATTGTTGTGAGGAACCTTCTAGCTCGACAATGATCAGTGCTATGAACGAAGGACGTATTTCTTTTCTGCTCAAGAAAGCTATAAAATTCAATCCGGTATAATCAAAATTTAATACTAACAATTTACGTTTTTGGAACACAGCTTGCTTGCATGGAATTAATTAAGCTGAAAGTAGTAAAATTTCAAATACATAGTTTTACCTGATGAAGCGTAATGTGCGAAAAATCGTCGATGTCTGGGGGCTGTATTTCCGTTGCAGGTTGCACGGGCTGTGGGTTTACTTGAGTCATTTCTATCGGAGAGGTTCGATCGTAAACACCGTCTCGATCTCCAACGAAATTGTACGACATTTTTTTGCGGAGCCAAGGACACAACGATAATTACTAACTACAGCGAGACCAAGGACTGCAAGATACGCAAATAGAATGAAATTAGCAAGGCAGGCCCGATGTAACACTACACAACTTTAAGATGACTACTTCGCTTATGTAAATACTCACTACCTCTGTTACTCATCTTCCAAGGTTGTCAAGCATTTCTTAACTTTCAAGGCATTATGGGTCACGGTATTTTGGGTTGTGACGTCAAATCTTAGGCACGATCTCGCAGAAAACCCTGCTGTGAGGAGCTTTCCCTGAGCCGTCTAAAGATAAATTCTTTAAGAGATGAAGATAACAAATAATAACAAAACAAAAATATTAAGAAGATGACTTTGCATCCAGTTTTATTTCAATCACTAGATTTGGTCCTTATCTACGTCAAAAAGCTGTGGTCAAGTGGTTTTCCGTCGTTTTAGTTTCAGGTGACTTCTAAAAATTTCCTTCTCCGCTAGAGTTCCGCGACACGTTACCCATAGAGGAAGCCATCGATTCTAGACTCATTAGCAAAGTATATTCAAGAATGAAGACACGTTTGGCCGCTGTCAGCGAACTTTTCTTAAAAGTTCAATTCACTCATATGAGGGGTGAAACATTTTAAATTTATTCAAGCACTGATTTTAGATCCGGTGCTCGAGGTACTAATCACACAAACTACCCATCTTTTCGTTGATAGATGATTGTATTCTGTCTACTATTTTAGTTCCTGATCTTTTCAATATCGATTTTCATACACATTTTACAGCTCTTTTCTGTTTATAATTTTCAGTGACGTCCGTTTACGTCATCAGATATCGAAATATTGGCCTGAATTTGTGATAACGATCACGGATTTTTATTATTCTGTAGTTTCAGAACGTCTCATACCTATTCAGCATTGCTAGTTCCGTCTTAGAACAATATGATCATCCTGATTAAAAATCCAAGAGAACTAATGTTTTCTTGTTAGCATTGACGACCAGAAGGATATTGCACCATAACATTCGAATAACAATAACAATTCCAACAACAGAGATGTAAAGACTTTCTATGCCTCCGAGAAAATTGAGACTGAAAAATGTTTAATAATTTAACCGTTTTTGAAAATGCAAAATATCACCCACAGTTTGAACTAAGAGAGCGCAATTAGAATAATAATACGACATACACCTTCTAAACTCGATTGACAGACCAAACATTGCTCTTGTTCGCGGAAGTTTCTTAATCATCTTTTGATCAATGCTATGTCTAACACCCATAGTTGGAACTAAGAGCGCGAAATTTCAGAAGATTCATACGACATACACCTTCCAAACTCGATCGACAATTCTAACATTGCTCTTGTTCGCGGAAGATTCTTAATCATCTTTGGATCAATGCTATTAATAATATTTTTGCTCAGATAAACTAATTCAACCTTGATGCTTTGTAACAGAACATCGATTCAGGCGGCTAGAATTTTCTTAACTGATAGAACAAGTTATTTCTCACAGTTTAAGTAGCCTGTTAGAAAGACTGACCTCTCATTATAAACAGTTGACAGGTGAAGCTATCTTACGCAGATCTTGAATAACTGCTGCTTCTTGGAGTGTGACTGAGGGAATACCGTTCAATAGGGTTTGTTTTATCACCACTGTTACTATGGTTGCAAACACATCTTACATACACAATTTATACAACCTTGGCATAGATAGTTAAGTAACAGAGACAATTACCTTTGAAGCTTATGACTTGATTTTAATTAAGTTACAAAGCATCCTCATCTGGAAGGATAATTTGTGACAGGCAAGATGGAATTTGTTTCGTATATTTGCGGACATGTGGGCTCTTTATTCCTCTTTTCTTGCAGAGTCGCCGCAAGAGACCGAGGTGAAACTGCGAGCCACGAATAAAAACGGTCAAAATACTTTCAACAAATTGATTTGTGTAAGAAAGGTGCTTTGGAGTTAGGAATACATTCTAATTAAAAAAAGAATCATTGCATCACGCAAGTTCGCCCCAGGCTACCGCCTGGTCGAGTTCGCCCCTTAAAGTAACACTCTTTTCCTAAATCATAATATATTTCGATCAACATGCAATTTTATTTTTTTCTCAATCAAGCACTTGACTACGGAAACAAGCTCAGTTACTATGAAACAATGGGCCTAACGACACACAAGCACACATATCAAACTACTAAATAAGCACAATGGTCGTTGCCTAAAAAAGTTTGTCAACTTCTGAAAGGGCCAGCCAATCTCCTTACCGCACGTAAACCCGCCAGCTTTACAGGCTACCTCCGAACTGCCAAAGAGAAACATAATGGCCTCTCGTATCAGTTTTGTTACCAAAGGGGTAACTGACTGGGATCAATCAGCACTTATATAATTTTAAAGACTACAAATTGCACTAGCCCTACGGGCTCATGCAATTTGTTTATCCCTCGAAAAATTTACTCGTGCTTATTTATCCCAAATTGCATTCGAAATCATGTAATTACCTATAAATGGCACCGTTTACAGATTACAGCGCCGAACATTTGGGAGTGATATCGTAAAATTTACAACGGTTTTCCTCCTTTTTCCTGATTTTTTGTTTTGTAGGCGATGTATAAAGAAGAATGGTGTTATTAATTCGAGATCATCAGTGTATCCTCAAACTTCCGAAATCTCTCGTTTTTAAATATCCTTTATTATCTCCTGCCTTAATATGATTTTTTTGTGCACGAATGTGCATCGCACAGCAACATTCGTCCAAATATATTTCGGTTGTACTTATCTTAGTATTTTGTCAAAAATAAAGTACTTTGTTGATCCGCTAGATAGGAAGCTTGTACGGTGATAACCAGAACAAATATTTAACCTCAGAGTCGGTGCAAGGGTAGGATATCTACATGTACCTCTCGCTTGATGAGAAATTATTAAATAATCTCTCACTTTGGTAAATCAATGGTCTGAGAAAAACTTACTTTTGAAAT